CCACACCGACTTCCCGGGATGGCAGGGGTGCGCTGTCGTCTGTGACTGCAGTGCGTGGCCACGTCTGACATGGTTTGGACTCCCTGGCCAAACCAGGTCAGGGTCACAGCTCGCCTCACCCCTGCCTTGCTGCCTGGGCAGCCCTGGAGCCTGTCTGCCCATCTGCGGCTGGGTACTGGTGCAGACACTAATGCCGTCCCTGTGCCCGTGTTTCAGTCCAAAGTGCGTGTCACCGGGTGGGAACCCACAGGGCCGGGCTGGATGATGAGACAACGTTGTCCCTTTCCAAAAGAGCTTCACAAATGATTTTCCACAGAAGAGTCACATGCTGCTGAGGGCATGTGTACACTGCAGGGCATGGTCCCGCACATCCAGGGCTGCGCCGCTGAGGTGTCCTGGGTGGCCCAGGTCCTCTCCAGGTGTCCCCAGGGCCCCCAGGACCCCCTCAGATGCTCATAAAGTTCCCCCAGATGCCATCAGGTCTCCCCAGACCCTCCCAGATCTCGGGTGCCCTTCCTGGTCCAGTGCCCATTGGAGACACACAGAGCTAACACAGCTGGCAGAGGACAGCACACGCCGCGCCCGCCTGTCTCCACAGTGCTCAGGCAGACAAGCTTCCCCCAGCTGCCATGGAGGTTGCTGTTCCAGTTTGCACTGTCCTGCTTGGAGTGGACACGTGCTTTTTCAGAGGATCGCGGAATCCCAGTCCTTACTTAACGGCTTCCTGCACGGACTGCTTCGGGAAGTGCAGTCACCTTGCAAAGTGTTCCTAAGACATTGATAACCACAGATAGTGTGAGCTCAGCAAACAAGTCCTGCCTTCATGCCCTCCCTGTGCGCGTGGCTGGGACGCCGGGACCGTGTGGCATGCACGCTGCTGGCGGGGCCCTGCCTTGCTCATTCAGCTCCTCCTTCGAGCTCCTCTCCACCGTTTACACGCCTCATGTTGCCGTGACTGCATGAGAATGGAGTGAGTGAGTGAGCTGGTGGAGACGGTGGAGACGTATAGTAATTAGCCAAAGAGTAGGGTGCGGAGGCCAGCATGTGGCATCATGGTTAAGATGCTGGACTCTCAAATGGCCAATCACAGTTCGAGTCCTGGACTCAGTGGCTTGAAGCACGCTGGGCACATGTGCATGCGTGTCTAAAATCTCAGGAGAACAGTGGAAGAGACTGCAGTGTGGCCATCCCTCCGGGGGGTGATTTCTCGCTTTCTGTCTCTCTATGCCACTGGCAAGTGCAAGCACCCTGTAGCAAAACTTTCTCAAAAAAATAAAAGACTCCTGGGCCCGCCTGTGCTGGGACCGCAGGATTCCCGTGCCAGCGTGTCTGCAGACTCCTGATGGGCCGACAAAGGCATTTCCTGCCAGGAGAGGGATGGAGCAAGAAACACAGGGGTTCTCGCTCCATGGGGAGCTGGGCTGTCTGCTCTCTTCTGCTCACTCTGGCCAGACAGGTGCAAGCCCTGGAGCTGGCTGGGGCATGCCCGGGTCGCTGCGGGAGGTGTGAAGGTGGGTCTGACCTGCACGCCTGGCGGAGTCTCCGTCCTTGCTGCACGTGGACAGGCAGCCTCCAGGGTGTGGGAGACTGAATTTCCACTCTCTCGACCGTCCCAAGTGTCCACCGCACACGGAAGGGCCCAGACAGCTCATACTCAGCTGGGCTTCGGCCTCAGTGGGCTGACAGGCTCTGGGAGCCAAGAGGAATCAGGCGGGTCCCAGGGCGCTCTGGGTCACCTGGAATGGGGCCCATCCGGCCCCGAGGCTGCCAGCAGAGCCTGCTCCCGCTGGCTTCCGCAGACACCACGGATGCCCCAGCGCTAATCTGACCCAGTCGGGTCAAGAGACTTCTCACTTCCCCGCAGACCCAGGACGGCCTCAGGGCGACCCAGTCCCATGGCTCACTCACCGCGTCTGAGCACGCCCGCTGGGTTGTAGGGGTTAGACCTCTGCTCTTGTCACTCGGCACACCGTGGCCCCCAGTCCAGCCATGGGCAGCGTGACCTGCCCACCTGCAGCTCCGTGGGAGCAGCCCAGGGTACCCAGTGCCATTTCTCTGAACTGGCCTCACGTGGGCTCGGCCTCTGGGTGGTGGGAGCAGGCCCACCCTGTCCTGGGAATGCTGTACTTCATGTCAAGGCCACGCAGGTCCAGGCCTTCCTCCAGGAGGTCCCCAAGCACGTTCTGCAGCCGCACTGCGAGCTGCAGGTGCCTGGGGGGGGGGGGGGGGGGCGCCCGGGG